TAAGTCAATCATAAAAGGACAAATATTGTATGATCTCACTTAAATATAAAAAGATAAGACGAGGCAAATGTATAGCGACCAAAGTTTATTAGTGGTTACCAGGGGCAGGACGGAGTGATAAAAGTGGGGTTAACAAGGATGGAAAAATCACATTGATTAAGGGTAGGGTTGCATAGCTGATTATTGTAATTGTGGTCAGTAAGTTGTATACCTGTAAAAAGTTGAGTTGACAGAAGTTGTGTGATAGATATATTTACAACAATTACAAAAAAAAAAAAAAGGAGCAGCTGCTGAAGCTGCTTAGGCACAATGAAACACCTCATGGGATTTGGTTGGTTCCTTGGCTTGGAGGTTTAGGATCATGGTTTCATGGGACATCCCAATTAGTTGGCCTAATAACATGTTTAGATGTTTAGTGCTTCTGTTATACCTCCTAGTTTGTTGCATAATGCCTAGGGTCTTAAAAGCTTGCAAGCGGCCATCCAAGGCACAACAATTGGTCTCTATTCACCTGCAGCAATAGAGAAAGGAGAGTCAGGAATAGAAGGTCGATATGGAATGTGTGGCTAATTACCTCCATGAACAACTGTCTCCTTTGCCATGAGACCAAAGAAATGGATGGTGCCCTGGCTATCACTACTGAACATTTTGATCAAAGATTCTCTAGAAGAATCCTGATCAAAAGGGGCAAAATGCAGAACAGAATTTCAAATTATCATGGACTCCAGACTTCCTAGAGCCATGGAAACTGGATGAACCCCTGAAACTATTGCCCTGAGATAATCTTTACATTTTAAACCAAAAATATCTCCTGAAGTCATCTTAAAACCAAACCACAGTTTAGTGTAACTAGTAAAAAAAAAAATGTCTGCCTTGAATATTAGGATCTTTTAAGAACTATCTATATGGGATCAAAGTGACAACAGCAACTTGAAAGATTAGAAAGGAACTGAAGGGGACAGTGAGTTTATGTTAATGAGGGAGGAACAATTCAGAGAAGGAGGGTGAAAATAGTTACACAACTCAAAAAATGTAATCAATATCACTAAGTTGTACATGTAGAAATTGTTGAATTGGTATATCTTTTGCTGTGTATATTCTTAAAAACAGCAAGAAGAAAAAAGAAAAAGGTCATCAGTGAACTTATGTAACTGTTCATATTTGATGAGTCAGAGGACTGAGGTTTTCTACTATCTTCCTCCAGCTTGCTCCATTCAGCCTCCTGGAAACATTTTTGAGCCTCCTCTGGCTCCAAAGGCATGCATACTAATTAATAAAGATTTGGCAAGCTGGGGTGGTAGGCACCAATTAGAATCCTAAATTCTTCATAGCATTTTTGAGGGTTATCCCCGGGCTTTGGAAATTCTTTAATTACAGATCTCAGTTCATTCTTGACCATGGAATGGTCAAGATATACTAGGCGTTTCACCCTCATCTGTTTCAGATCTGACCCTAAAAAGGAGTTGTTTAGCTGGTTCCTCAGTGAAAAAGGGGAGTTGAGATAGGGAGTTAGCAGACAGCTGGAATTCCAGGTAAAGAAGGATAAAGTGAGGCTGGGGGAGCACAGGAGATGGTGTCAGTCTTTTGTCCTAGATGACCATCTATCTTTGAAGTTCCCTAAGTTTTTAACTTTTCACTTGCCTTCTGTAATGAATCTTGCAATGAAGTTATTTTAGATTCCTGAGACTTTCTGGAGGATTTGGCATACCAGTCAAAATAGCATCCCATTCCTTTTATTTAGTCGCTGTTGTTGTAGCGTGCCGTGGAGTGAATTCCAACACATAGTGACCCTACAGGATGCAGCAGAACTGCCCCGCAGGGTTTCTTACTTTGTAATCTTTATGGGAGGAGACCGCCATGTCTTTTCTCCTGTGGAGAGGCCAGTGGGTTCCAACTGTCCACCTTTCGGTTAGCAGCTAAGCACTTAACGATTGTACCACCAGGGCTCCTTTTTGACTAGTTAGAGGACTGTTTTTCTCAAGTTTTCCTCTTAAATAGGTCAGTGTATCTAATGAAAAGTTCCCCACACTGGCCATTGTAATTCTAAATTGTCCGTAGTGAGATTTCGCCATTTTTGTAAGAAGGCACAACTTCCCAGTCCTTAGTGTTG